TTATCTGAAATCCTAGAACTGGTACTACAGAATCACCTTTTCCCTAAGCAAAGGGTGGACTTTGTTAATAATCCCAGGTTCAAGTGGGATGGAGGGGGGGGATGCCATGGAGGTTTACTGGTCACCACTGTCAGGAGGGTAAAATAACAGAAGAGGCAGCTGGGTTCCCCAGCTCACCCTATCTCTATGTATTGTGGCTACACTGTCTGCGGCATCTGTGTCTGTGAGAGGCAGCAATGGGATTTCACAAACTTGAGCCACATCACCCACCATATTCCCCTGAAGGTTGGTCCTCTGAGACTGGAGTGACCAGATCACAGGAGAGGCACCCATATTCCAAGGGAGCACAGGCCACTTTCCACCATCCCAAGAGATTTGAAAAGCCAGAGACATGCAAGAGAACTAAGCAAACAAACAAAAACCTTATGATTCAGCACCACCTACTGGAAAACAATAGAAAGACTTGTAATTATCAATCTATTAGAGAAATGCCACTTATATAAAGATGCCTAGACAGAAAAAGAATCCATCAAGAACCATGAATAATCGAGGTAACAAGGCAGCTCAGAAGGAAAATGCTCCAGAAAACAAACTTAGAGACATGGAAATATAGAGACTTAAATGATAGATTACAACATTGAAGTTCTGGGGGGACGGGGGTTAGTGAGGTGGGGGGGGGGGGACTCAACAAGATGTAAGAAAACCTAGATAGACAATTTAATGAGTTCATTGGGGAAAAAATCAGCAAACAAAATAAGTGCTTTACTAAAAAGATTAAACATTAAGAAAAAACAAAAACAGAAATTCTGGAGATGAGGACGCAATAAAAGAGATCAAGAATGAGCTACAAAACATAAGAAATAGAGCTGACCAGAAGGAGGAAAGAATTAGTGATATCAAAGATAGGAATCTAAAAATTATGCAGAAGGAAGAAGAGAAAAACTTGAGTACAAAGAAAATGAAAGAACTCTTCAAGAACTATGACTCCATCATAAAAAGCAATCCAAATATATAAAAACCCAGGGTCAGTAATGTCCAAAACGACCAAAGGTTCTACCAAACACTGGAAGTCAGTCCTGCAGTCAGTGCTGGGTCACCACAGCAACCCAGCACTGACTGCCAAGGGAGCTGTGGATCAGGCCCAGAGAGAGGCCCAGAGAGAGAGGCAGAGTCTGATCCTCAGCCTCCATGGCAGCTGTTGATCAGCCGTTGCCTCTCTCTTTCTCTCCACGCTTCACCAGCAGTCATGCCTCTGTTTCTCTCTGGGCCTTCTTGGGGGCTGCTGATCAGTCCTGCCTCCCTGATCAGGCCCAGAGTTAGGCCAGAGACACTGACTGGCATATAAACTGACCAATCAGAACAAAAGCTGAGTGAACTGTGAGGAGCCAATGGCTGCCTAGGAGGAAGATCTTTTGACACTGACTGGTATAGAAATAGACCAATCAGAACCAAATTGATCTGCAGGGGATGACAGTAGAGGCTAAATTAGGCCAGCAGGGGAGGGCAGTGTAATCAGGCAGGCAGAGGCAATTAGGGGTGATCAGGAAGGCAGAGGCAGATGGGAACGAGATCAGGCTCGCAGGGGAGAGCAGTTAGGGGCAAGATCAGGCCAGTAGAAGAAGCCAGTTAGGGGCAATCAAGCAAGCAGGCAGAGCAGTTAGGGGTGATCAGGAAGGCAGGTAAAGTGAGCAGTTAGGAGCCAGCAGTCCCAGATTGTGAGAGGGATGTCCTCCAAGGGGTTGCTGATTTGAGAGGGTGCAGGCTGGGCTGAGGGAACCCCTCCCTCCATGCATGGAATTTCATGCACCAGGCCGCTAGTATAAAAATAATAGGCATAACAAAAGATGAAGAGAGGCAGAAGGGAATGGAGAACCTATTCAAACAGACAGTTGATAAAACCTTACCAAACATAAGGGAAGAGCTGGATTCTTGAATCCAAGAAACAATCAGAACACCTAATTATCTCAATCCAAAAAGGCCTTCTATAAGGTACACCGTATTAAAACTATCAAATATTAATAATAAAGAAAGAATACTCAAGGCAGCCAAGGAAAAGAAGAAAGTAACCTATAACGGAAAGCCCATTAGCTTATCAACAAATGTCTCAGCAAAACTCTACAAGCTCAAGAGAGTGGAACCAAACATTCAATCTACTAAAAGAGAGGAATTACCAGCCAAGAATAATATATCCAGTAGAATTCTCTAAAGATAAGGAAAGAGCCAGCATAGACTCTCCATTCCCTTCTACCTCTTCATCTTCTGGTATGCCTATTATTCTTATATTGCTCTTTCTGATGGAGACATAGTTCTTGGAGAGTTCTTTCATTTTCTGTATACTCAAGTTTCTCTCTTCGATATCACTAATTCTATCATTGATATCACTAATTCTTTCCTCCATCTGGTAAGCTCTATTTCCTGTACTTACTAATTCATTCTTAATTTCTTTTATTGAGTCCTTCATGTCCAGAATTTCTGTTTGGTTATTTTCAAAAGTTTTCATCTTTTAGGTCAAGTACTCATTTTGTTCATTGATTCTATCATTTCTTAGCACATTTAAAATATGACTTGCTTCAATATTCAATATGTTTTTGTTATTTTCATCTCCAAAGATACAATTTTTGTTGAAAACTACTTGTGGATTTTCACAAAATCAAAAGTACTGATAATTCAACATTTTAATGAAACTTACTTTCCTGTAAAAGAGGGAAATACTGGTACAGCATCTTGTGTCCCCAAATTTCTACAAATGAGATACCTGACAGATGATGCTTCCCTTTCTTCTGAGGGAAAACTACTACATCTAAAGATTAAAAAAATAAAAAAAAATAAAAAATATAAAAAAAAAAAAAAAGTATTGGAAGTAGGAGTTGGGATCTTCATGAACTAATAAGAGCCTCACAGAAAATAAGCAAGTAATATTTTATTAAAAAGTCTTTAATATAAAATAATTCATGAAAAATTTAAAATAGGTCCTGTTCCTTGGTGAGTTTTAAAGTATTTCAAAGATTTCTCTATTTTGTAACTTCCATCATTCATTTCTCAGTATTTATTAAGTGTCTCATATCTATGAGAAATGTGCAAGTTGTTGGAAGATTAAAAAAATAAATTAGTAAAACATAACCCAGCCCTAGCTGGTTTGGCTCAGTGGATAGAGAGTTGGCCTGCTGACTGAAGGTTCCCAGGTTTGATTCCAGCCAAGGAAGGCTACATACCCAGATTGCGGGCTTAATCCCCAGTAGGGGGCATGCAAGAGGCAGCTGATCAATGATTCTCTCTCATCATTGATGTTTCTATCTCTCTCTCCCTCTCCCTTCTTCTCTGAAATCAATAAAAAAAATGTATTTTTTTAAAAAAGACATATCCCATGGCCTTGGGAGTATCATAATCCAGTATATATTGATTAAACTAAAATACTTTTTTTTTCTTTTTTTCTTTTTTTCTTTTTATGTGCCTCAGGCATGAACCAGCTCTGGCCACCGACACAGGCATCAAGCTAGGATGAACTAAGGACTGTACGTTTGCTTTGCCCCTGACTGATATAAGACCAACACCACCAATCAGGTGTCTCCTTGCCCATTGCCAGGGGGTTGATTAAACTAAAATACTTTTAATGCTCAAGGTATGGGTAGCTTTTTTTTCTTTCATGTCTGCTCTACAATAAGCATTCAATAAACACTTATTGACTGAATTTCACCATGGCATCCCTGTTTCATGGACATTGAAAAAAGATTTCACAAACTTAAAGACAAGCAAAACTTTGAGGATAAATCTTAATATGAACCCACACTTTGCAGAGGGCTAATGGGGGCCAGAAATGTTTAGTGACTTGTCCAGGATCAACAGCAGAACTATAACAAGAATTTAGAACACTCAGCTTCCAGCTAATCTCCATCATTTCAACCTTTGAAGATCTAAACACCCTCTACTCTTTCTTCTCTATGTAATTAGCTCATTCATTTAGCCTGTTCATTTAACTTAGTCTCAACACATCTTCCTTTTAACTCTGTACTGATCTGTGCAGCATCCTCTAAACCCTCATAGATTTCATGCTGTCTCTTCATTTGTGAAGCCCACGTAAGCTGTAATTTCAATGTGAATCTTCATAAAGACTCAAATGAGCTGGAGCTCCCAGGCAAGAAAATAAAGCTCAGGCCACACATCTGAAACCTTATGGCATCCATCCTCTTAATAGGCACCCTAGTGTGTCCCCTGAGGTGTGTGTGGATGGGTCCCAGGAAGAAGAAGCAGTCACTCTGCTGGGCTGTGTCCCAGAAGCCCTCTGCCACAGCATCGCTTCACTGCCATGTGCTCACCCCACTGAGAACGCGCTTATAATGAAACCCATAAGAGCTTGTTGTCATGAAAACCTAATGGGAAAATCCACAATTCTGATAGCATATGTCCTTAGTTCATCACACTTCTATTCTGAAATTTTGTTCTAAGACAAAATTTTAAAAAATTATTTTTAGACAAGCTCTTGCCTGGTAATGTAAGATACACAACTAATTCTGGTAAATATTGTTTACTAGTAAAGTTTTGTGTGTTTATTTTCTGGGATATCAGCAAAATTATTAAAACTTTTTTTGCGGGAGAGGGGGAAGCGATCTATGACTAAAAAGTAATTCGTAATGAATGTAAACAAAGGTTGTGGACACACAAGTAAGAAAGACCAATGTAAAAAAAAATGTAATTAAGCACTTTCAGTAGGAACACAGGATGGTTAAATTTACTTTGTGTTGTAAGATTGCTATAGAAATATTTCACCTCAAAACACATGCACAACCTCTTTGTGAAACAACCTCTAATTACAGAGAGAAATTAATCCTGAAAAGCAGCATCTCTCACACACACACATGATCTTCTATGAAAACTCATGTATGACAAGTAGGAACATCTTCTGTGCGCCCAGAGGAACAAATAGACCTCTTTAAGCATTAAAATTGTATCACAGCCTTAACCTAAAAATAATAACAACAATATAATAATAACAACAAACTTACCACTGTCTGGAATTGGTAGTGGTGAGTTCTTTAACTTTAGATTTTGTTTCCCTTTTGTGGGTTTTTCTACATTCACATCCTCCTTTTTCCCTTTCCTCTTTGGGGGCTGAGGAGATGAGTTGTCGCTGGATCCTACAGTTGACTTAGATTGGCGATCATTTCCCTAAGTGGCAAAAGATTAGATCCTTATTATTGGCTAATGAACTCACAAAGTGATTCCTAGTTAAAAAAAATAATAATAATAAATAAATAAATAAATAAATAATTAACTAGGCATTAGGTAAATGGGACAGGGGCCAGAGATGGATGCATTGTGCTGATTCTGCTTCTATCCATTTTAATACCTACAATTAACTCTTCCTAGTGGCAAAAGAAGGGTCTAGGAGAGGAAGAAGAAAAATAATGATTGTTGATTAGTTAATATTACCATGTATTCCATAAAATTAAGTCACTCAATCTTCATACCCCGTAAGACAGGTACTGTTGTCACCCCATTGTAAAGAGGAGAAATGCCAGACCGGTTTGGCTCAATGGATAGAGCGTCGGCTTGGGGACTGAAGGGTCCCGGGTTCGATTCCGGTCAAGGGCATGTACCTTGGTTACGGGCATATCCCCAGTGGGGGGTGTGCAAGAGGCAGCTGATCAATGATCCCCAGTGGGGGGTGTGCAAGAGGCAGCTGATCAATGACGCTCTCTCATCGATGTTTCTAACTCTATCTCTCTCCCTTCCTCTCTGTACAAAATCAATAAAATACATATTTAAAAAAAAATAAAAAATAAAGAGGAGAAAAGGAGGCTTAGTGCTTGGGAAGTAAGCCTTATCCAAGGTCATGCCCTCGGCAAAGAGCACAGCAGGCCTTCTGCCCTAACCATCCCCTCCCTCCTGTGCTTTCTGAAGAATCAGCAGCTACCTATTAAATGAGAAACAGAGACAATCCTCAGCTTGATCGGTTAATCAAGAAATACCTTCTTAACTGGTAGTCACTGTGAATGTATAGGACAGACATTTGAAGAGACATACACTGCGCTTGTAGAAATCTCCAATATTTACTCATCTGTTGGTGACTGCAATGGTCTCTATGAATTGCAAATCCAGAGCAACATAGGCCCCAGCAGTCCACATTTCTGAAAGGCAGCGCCCGTAATCACACCTCCAGTGGTTGCCTCCAGTCCCCAAATATTTCTGGAAATGAAGACCTTACATTTGCAAAGTGGGCTCCTCAGCAGAAAGGTGGACTGAGTTTTAGCGATTCCTGTCACTGGCCCAAGTATGGCTCCTGTGGAGCCACATAATAGCCACTACAGTGGTGGTTACTGTTAGTGCTCAAGGGACAGCTATGCTGGTCTCAGCTACTGTGTGGCCATTGCTACAGCAAGAGACTCCCTCCTAACAAGACAGCCTTGACTCTCAGATGCTCCAGTGCTAAACTTACCTGAGTGTGTAGGGTGTGAAGCTGCAGGCAATAGAAAAATTGTAAGTTTTAGAAACCCAAAATACCTGGTTCAGAGCCACTGCTCTGCCAGTAATCACCTATGGGAACTTAGACCAGTTCCTTCCTTGTTTGGCCTGTCTCCTCATCAGTTAAAAGGAGTTAATGTACCTGCCTTTAGGTCTATAATAAGAATAAAATGGCCCAGTTTATAAAGTAACTGGTACTGTGCCTGACATAGTATTCATTCAATGAGTATCAGAGTGCTTTCTATAAGAGCAAAGAGATAATATATTTTTCTTAAAATCCTATCAAACACACATATTGGGTGCAATCTTTATGCAATATTTGTACTATGCTAGTATCTAAAAATAAATGTAATATAAAATAAACAAATCTGCCTGGAAACCTATTATAACTGCTCAATTTAAACATTTATATATTCAGTCACTGAAAAGTATTTAAATAGTTTTAGCCATCACCCAATTAAGAACAGCAAAATGCACAGCCTTACAAATGAAGCTATTTATGCTATTTTGTCACAGCCTACAAGAAAATGAATTATGCATAGATTTATTAACAGTATAAAATATGTCTGAATCTATAACACTTTTTTGCATAATTTAATTTCCTATTCAGACTGCAATTTAAACATACAGTTTCCATTTAATTATTGCATTAGCTGCTACCAGAGCTGTGGTATGTTTTTTATTCCTTTTCTTTTCTTCAATGATTCTCTTCCGAAAGGCCATAAATTGCCTGGCAGAAGAAATAGATAATATGACTAAAGAGGAGGTTCTGAAACGATCAGCCAGGTCTCATATTCCAGTATATTTTCAACCATATCTACTCATTCCAAGATTTTAAAACTGTAAAAGTCTTGAATGAAACAAGTAACCTCTCTAGCAAGCCTCTGGGAACATTCAGAGATGCTGTGGAACTTCCAGGGACTAACATGAAGTGTTGTGAATGAGAAGCTTTGGATCTTGGCACAACAAGTTTTACAGCTCACTTGGAAAAATCTTGTTCACAGAGGGGTATAACAATGGAGAAGCAGAGCCCCATCCTGGAATGGAATGCCTAGGGGTTACATAATTTTAAAAACTCTCTTGTTGAACATTCAGAAAATTCTGCTTTACCACGTTCCTGGTAGCGACACTCAGAAAGGTGATTGTGGATCATCAAGAAAGAATAGTTTATTCTCTAATAACTATATAGGGCATGACTTTCAAAACTGCTGCTCAGGCATTACCCAATAATGACTACTCATAAGGCACTTTGTAAGAACAAAAATGAGAACAAGGGAAAAATTGTTTTGGAATTAGAAGATTGGTTAATAATTTAAATGCTTATCCTTTTAAAAATGTTAATTCACCTAAAATGTTAATATAAAAAATATGTAAGAAATTATATATATATATATATATATATACAAGGCCCAGTGCACAAAATTCATGCACTGGAGCAGGCGGGGAAGGGGGGAGCCCTTGTCAGACATCTCTCTCACAATCTGGGGCTGCTGCTTCTAACTGCTCACCTGGCTGCCTGACTGATTGCCCCTAACAACTTCTGCCTGCCAGCCTGATTAACACCTAACTGCTCCCCTGCCAGCCCAATCGCCCCCAACTGCCCTTCCCTGCCAGCCTGGTCACCCCCAATTACCCTCCCCTGCAAGCCTGTTCCCCCCCCACCCACCCCAACTGCCCTGCTCTGCAGCCTGATGGCTCCCAATTGCCTTCCCCTACAGGCCTGGTTCCTCCCAACTGCTGGCCTGGTTGTCCCAACTGCCCTTCCCTGCTGGCATGATCTCACCCCCAACTGCCCTCCCCTGCCAGCCAATTTGGTTCTAATTGCTCAGTTTCTATGCCAGTCAGTGTCAAAATCTCTGCCTCCTAGGCAGCCATTGGTTCCTCACAGTTTACCCAGATTTGGTTCTGATTGGTCAGTTTCTATGCCAGTCAGTGTCTCTGGGCCTATCAATGAGGCCTGATCAGAAAGGTAGGACTGATCAGCAGCCCTGGTGGAGGCCTGAAGAGAAATGGAAGCACAGCTGCAGGCCAGGCCTGGAGAGAGAGAGGCAAGTACTAATCAACAGCTACCACAGAGGCTATGGATCAGGCCTGGCTTCTCTCTTTAGGCCTCTCTCCAGGCTGATTCTCAGCCCCCTAAGCAGTCAGTGCTGGGTCACCATGCCTGCAGCATAGCAGTCAGTGCTCGGTCATCATGGCAACCCAGCTCTGACTTCTGGTTGGTCAAGCCCTCAGTTGTAACAGACCCAGGGTTTTTATATATTGGTATATTGGGATATATAAGGAGATACATATATCCTTAGAGAAGGGAGGGAGGGAGGGAGGGAGGGAAGGAGAGAGAGAGAGAGAGAGAGAGAGAGAGAAAGAGAGAGAGAGAGATGAAGAAGGAAATTTTCCTTCTTTTGGAGACTTCCACCTGTGACTAATTACTTGAGCACATATAGTCATTACTATTTTGGGAATAGAGTGGATAGAGAAGTTAGTTTTGCCGTCTCACACAGCTATGCCAATTGATGACACAATGTTATTGAGTAGCTCTTATGTGCTAAAAAAAATTAACACAAATATTTCCAAATTTATAGATAGATACAATTGTCATCACTTTATAGATAATAAAAGAACTTAGTTTCTCAAGATTACCGAGGTCTGATTTTTCTGTTACACAAGAGCTTCTTGATGCCAAAGCACTAGAAACAGCTATTATATTGTATGGTTCCCTAAAAACAGCCACCTGGAAGTGACACAGTGGAAAGAATCAAGAAGCAGCTAATTTTACAGCATGTCTTATGCAAAAACTTGACTTCAGTCATACTTAAACCACTGTCCTGCCTGTTGCCTCACACATATCTCAGCTTATTAGACAGGAATAGAAAAGTTCAAGCTCAAACTAGCAAAAAAATAAAATAAAATAAAATAAAATAAAATAAAATAAAATAAAATAAAAAAATACCAAGAGCCTGGCTGATGTGGCTCAGTGGTTGGGCATCGACCTATGAACTAGGAGGTCATGGTTCCATATCCAGTCAGGGCACATGTCTGGGTTGCAGGCTTCACCCCCAGTGAAGTGTGTGCAGGAGAAAACTCATCAATGATTCTCTCTCAGCATTGATGTTTCTATCACTCTCTCCTTCCCTTCCTCTCTCTGAAATCAACAAAAATATATTTTTGGGGAAAAAACTAACAAGAGTCTTTCTATCACCATCACTCTACCGAAACTGGGATTTTTATATAGTTCCCAAAGCAATGTCCAACAAATTGAAACAGCTCAGGTTTATTTCATTACTGCAGAAACTCATTTCCAGCCCCCACAAAAACATGTCATAAAACATCAAGTTTAAAATAATTCTGTGAGGGTTTTGCCTATTGGAGCAGCTTTCACCACCTGTGTCTCAGGGATGCCCCTGGGTGGAGGACTTGAAGAGCAGGAACTGGACAGCACTCAGACTGGTGCTGCTCTCGCTTAAGCATCTGGTGAGAGCACATGTGAGAAGCCCTCCCATCCACGCTGAACACAGCTTCTGCACCGATAAATGGTGGAGCATTTTAGGAGCATGTGGAACTTTTCTTGCTTCACAGTGACTCTGTGATATGTAGATAATGATGTGGGTGTCTTTTAAAACAAAACCTTAACAATTATAATATCTTAATTTGTAAATCATTGATCACAAGATGTATTAGCCATATAGTCATTAAAAAAGTCTTCG